CCAGCGAGCACAGAACACAACACACACACAAAGGGAGGTGAGGGGAAGAGACTGGGAAGAAAGCTCTACTAACAAGCAGTAATGACAGAGAAAGCACTGAAAGGGATCATATATATATATATATATATATATATATATATATATATATATGTGTGTGTGTGTGTGTGTGTGTGTGTGTGTGTGTGTGTGTGTGTGTGTGTGTGTGTGTGTGTGTTGTGTGTGTGTGTGTGTGTGTGTGTGTGTGTGTGTGTGTGTGTGTGTGTGTGTGTGTGTGTGTGTGTGTATGTGTGTGTGTGTTTGTGTGTTTGCTTTTGATATCTCATATTTGAATACCACTTAAAAAAAATATTATTTTTTTGGGTGGGAGAAATTTTTGTGCAGTGGTAATGAGGGTTTACGAGGGTGCCAACACCAGGGGAATTGCCGACGGCTGGCCACTTTATAGGCACTTGCACGGGGGAACACTTGGCACTTACTCCGCGATCAGTGTTACTGCCTTCGCCTCGTTCATTGCAGTGAAATGTAATCCTAGATGTGAGAAATAGAATTGTTTTCTGAACAGCGGTGCAAGGGTAGTGTGGTAGTCTGAGTAAGTTTGAGTGAGTATGCCTGGGTGAGTAAGTCTGGGTGAGTAAGTTTGATGAAGTGAGTATGTCTGGGTGAGTCTGAGGAAGTGAGTATGTATGGGCGAGTAAATCTGAGTGAGTAAGTCTGAGTGAGTAAGTCTGGGTGAGTAAGTCTGAATAAGTCTGAGTGAGTATGTCTTGGTGAGTAAGCCTGGGTCTTTATTAAGCAATATACTGGTGTTCACAAGGCAGTGTACTGGTCTAGCACAGAATATTCTTGGCTAGTTACCTGCCACTCTGAAACACAACGAGGTAACTGGTCTCTCAGGTATTCCTCATATACATATATATATATAATATATATATATATATATATATATATATATATATTATATATATATATATATATATATATATATATATATAATATATATATATATATATATAATATAATATATATATAATATATATATATATATATATATATATATATATATATATATATATATATATATATATATATATATGACTAACACTGACTCACCTGACACATGACATTCACATTAAAGGTATTAAATCCGAGTAGATCGAGCCACACCAGGAAGAGTATAAAGAGGTAAGTAACATCAGCGATGGCCAAGGCTGCCAGATAATAACTAGAAGACCTCATCCTCAGGCGGGTGTTGAGGAAGACCACGCAGGACAGAAGGTTTCCCACGAAACCCACCACGATCAGTAGGGGCACGTAGTATGTGTTGAGCTGCCTGACGATGCCCCACTGCTCGTCCGTGAAGTTGTAGCTTTCGTAGTCGTAATCAATGTAGGTGTCGTAGACGGGTTCGTTGTGGGGCGGCGTGCCCTCCGTGCAGGAGATGAGGACGATGCTGCCGCTGACGTTCTGGAATCGACAGAGATTCTTGGTGATAGCGGAGGGCGCCTTGGATGGCCCTTGGGTAGCGTTCATGGTAGCGTCGGGGAGCTCAGTGTTGGCTACCTTGGGTAGCGTTCATGGTAGCGTCGGGGAGCTCAGTGTTGGCTACCCTGGGTAGTAGCGTTCATGGTAGCGTCGGGGACCTCAGTGTTGGCTACCTTGGGTAGCGTTCATGGTAGCGTCGGGGAGCTCAGTGTTGGCTACCTTGGGTAGCGTTCATGGTAGCGTCGGGGAGCTCAGTGTTGGCTACGATCACCACATCTTCCCTCCCCGCACCAAACACTGCTGTTGAAGGTCAGATTAACCTTCCGTTATCACCAAGTGGTAACAAAAACATCTTGGTGACGAAGGAGTAAGTCGCTCTCTGTCCATGGCAGGGAGATAGTGGTCACCATCTGTCCTCCCTCACCATCTGTCTTCCTGCACCAGCTGCTTTTTGTCTCTTCTCCATACTTCCTTCGTCTCCTCACTTTTAATATGCCCCTCGAGTCTCTGGTGAACAATCATTTCTCCACTCAGAACTTTCTCATAATAAACATAAGATATTAACATCTATTTCTCTATAAATATTTCAATATAAATTGTAAGTGTTAAACTATAAACATTCGTGCACTTCCCAAGGGATGTTTCACAAATTTTTATACGTCTTAAATTACGTTAAGGAACATTTCAATCGCCTCACAAATATCTACTTTGCATTAGTTTCTTATCAACTTTCTTATTCCTTTCCATTGGTTGTTTGTAAGGATGTTTAACGCAAATATGACTCTGCTGAGAAGGCCTGGTCACAGACCGGGCCGCGGGGGCGTTGACCCCCGGAACTCTCTCTAGGTAAACTCCAGGTAAACCACGAGAGTGTTTTGTTTTGGACGATATTGTCTATAACTTTACGGAGAGTTTCACATTGTTTCACACACCTCTGAGGCAGCTGTCAATGTTTCGAGCGACTTTCGTACACACATTTCAAGCCGTGTACAGACAGACGTTAGCTAATTTTTTTTTT